CAACGTGAAGAGGAAAGAGAGAGGAGTAAGTTTATACCCTTGGTTCGCAGTGAAATGGCCGAAGGTGTTCGGAAAGCTCCTCAATAGTCACGGGTTCGCCGGAGTTGGGTGAGCTTTCCCCCGACCTGATCTCGTTCCATAACACACACCCAAGCTTACCTAACCGGAGAAAATGAAGAAAACTCGCCGGAGGTTTCTGGGTTTCGTCGATCTTGCAGAGATAAGAGGAAGAGAGAGAAAGACGAGGTTTTGATGGTGATGCTGTCTACGGAACGATGGTGTGGGTGCCGTGTACTAGGGTAATCACGGGAGAAAGAGTGAGAGTGATGAGAGGGTTTCGAGAGAGAAGATAGTGTGCAGAGAAGGAAGGAAAGAAAGGGGGTCTCGGGTAGGATCTGGTTGATCTCGGTGACGATGGTGAAGAAGCCGGAGGAGGAAGAGGAGGAGGAGGGGAGGCGGCGGAGGGAAAAGGAGTAGGAGGAAACGAAGAGGGTTTTGCAGGGGCGGAGATTGCGAGGAGGGAGAGGAGGGCGATGAGGAGGAGGAGGGATCGTTGACTCGTTCTCTCTGTCTTCTCTTCTTTCTCATTTCAATTGGCAATTTAGGGATTTAAGCAAGTTTCAGGCCCCCAAATCATCTACTTATATTGCCCTAAAAAACTCCAAGTAATTACAACATCGTATTAGAATTGTAATTGATCCTTGTTAGATTTGGTTTAGAAATTCTATGTAATTTAGTGATTGTTTCATATTAGGTTTAGATTTGAATTTTTTACTCCATTCAGATTTTAAAGGATTATAATAGATTTAAAAATTTATGAATTTTGATGAAGTTTAATAATTTTTAAAACTTTTATGTAAAATTTTAAGTGAATTCCCTCAAATTTTTAGGGAGCAATTTGAGAATGTTTAAAATATTATGTGAAATATTTCTAATTTTTTCGAGTTTCCCAACTTTTTAAAAATCTCTTCGAATCAATTTCTAAATGAATACATTTGGAATGTATGAATTTCTTAAAAATCATGATCGAATACCCCTTAAACTTTAAAGAATTACTTAAAATCCTGATTAAAATGCCCTTAGATTTTTAAGGAGAATTAAAATGTTTATAAGCCCCAATTGGATGTACCGCTTAATTTAACTAATTGACACAACACAACAAAACCAGTTAAGATTACAAATTAACACAAAAGACGACTTGATGCGAGGTCATATCTAAAAAACTTGCCGCAATAAGTCCCAATTGGTGTGTTTAAACTTCTTTCATTAATTACTACATATTTTCTACACTCATAATGTTTGTCAGTTCGCTATATAATCAACTTGATAATGTTAAATCCATCATGCAATGCATTTTCTTTCAATTTTTTGTGATAAACTAATAGATAATTGACTAAATAAACATCTTGCAAAGTTTTAATAAAAATTTCCAAGTTTTTCTTACAATTTCCGTGGTTTCCATATAATTTTTATCGATATCGATATTATCCCCATATTTCTATCGATATTTCTGTGTTTTCAGACTATCGATATTTCCAATATTACCGATATTTAATACTTTGGACACACCTACCGCACAAAAACATTCCAATGCCCATGCCAGTAAAATTATGCAAGGAAACCCGAAATTTTAGCTCCTAAAACGGCGCCGTTTAGGAACATCGCAGTTTTCATTGTTCGTTGTCCATCGCCTTCACTGGAACGCAGAAAGCAGTTTGTAGGGTTTATGCACAAGGGTTTAACAAAAATCCCAAATTCACAAAAATCTCTCAACATTTCCGACCATGAGAAAATCTTCAATCTCACTCTTCTCCCACCTCACTCGCCAGAGACTCAAATCCTCAATCCCTCCTCTTCTTTCCAGAAATTACATTTCCGACCGCCCATCCTCCTCCTCCCCCTCTCCGCCGGCGGTCTCACCGGCCCGTTTCAGCCCCTGCGCCATAATTCAGGACTCATTCTTCAAAAGCAGCCAATTCCACACAAACCCATCTCGAAATATGAACACCCTCGTCGAAACATCGCCTCAAATTTCCTCCAGGCAGAGAAAATCCATGGAAAAGTCGGACCTTGAAGAGGCTTTCGAGTCTGCAAAAACCATCGAAGAACTGCTTGCGGCTTTCAAGGCCATGGAGTCGGCTTTCGAAGAGAGGGAGCTCGGCATGGCTGCTCTGAAAGTCGGCCTCAAGCTTGACCATGAAGGTGAGGACCCTGAAAAGGCTCTGTCTTTGCTACCAGAGCATTGAAGGCTTTGGATAGAGACGATACCGGTAAGCCCTCTTTGGTTGTTGCCATGGCTTTACAGTTAATGGGTTCTGTTAATTATGGATTAAAAAGGTTTAGTGATAGTTTGGGGTACCTTAATAGGGCTAATAGAGCATTGTGTAGATTAGAGGAGGAGGGTTTTGATGTTCGGGATCTTAGACCGGTGCTTCACGCTGTGCAGCTCGAGTTGGCGAATGTGAAGACTGCAATGGGGAGGAGAGAGGAGGCTCTAGGGAATCTTAGGAAGTGTTTGGAGATTAAGGAGTTCATGTTGGAGAAAGATAGTACTGAACTTGGCAAGGGACACCGGGATTTGGCAGAGGCGTATGTAGCTCTTTTGAACTTTAAGGATGCATTAGGATTCTGTATGAAGGCATTGGAGATTCACAAAGAAAAGTTGGGGCAGAATTCAGTTGAGGTTGCACATGACAGGAGACTTCTTGCGGTTATTTATACTGGGCTGGAGGAGCATGAGAAGGCGTTGGAGCAAAATGCATTGTCACAAAGGGTGTTGAAGAATTGGGGTCTTAGTTCCGACTTGCTTCGTGCAGAGATTGATGCTGCTAATATGCAGATTGCCCTGGGAAACTTTGACGAGGCTATTGAAACTTTGAAGCGTGTTGTTCAGCAGACAGATAAGGATAGTGAGACTAGGGCACTGGTGTTTATCTCGATGGGAAAAGCATTATGTAATCAGGAAAGAACGGCAGATGCAAAGAGATGTTTGGAGCTTGCTTGTGGAATTCTTGACAAGAGAGAGACAATCTCCCCAGTAGATGTTTCCGAAGCGTACTCGGAGATAGCAATGCAATATGAGACTATGAATGAGTTTGAAACTGCAATTTCACTGTTAAAGCGAACACTAGCTTTGCTTGAGAAGCTCCCACAAGAACAGCACTCTGAGGGAAGTGTTTCAGCTAGAATAGGGTGGTTACTTCTGTTGACTGGAAAGGTCTCACAGGCTGTTCCTTACTTGGAGAGTGCAGCTGAGAGGTTGAAAGAGAGCTTTGGTCCCAAGCATTTTGGCGTCGGCTATATTTACAATAACTTGGGGGCAGCATATTTAGAACTAGAGAGACCTCAGTCAGCTGCGCAGATGTTTGCTGTTGCGAAGGACATCATGGATGTCTCCCTTGGTCCCCATCATGCCGATTCAATTGAGTCATGCCAGAACCTCTCAAAAGCATACGCTGCCATGGGAAGGTATTAATACTCTTTCTTATTTTCTTACATATTAGATTTATTACTTCATTGGATATGACAGTTACAATGTGGTTATAAATCTTGCTATTTCCATTGTTTCCTGGTCAAAGAAAGTGAACTTGATACGATTCTGGCACTTGAATTGTATTTATCAAGCAGCAATTCATTGAGACGATTGATGCATTTAGTAGAAATGTTTAATCTTATGTCAATTGTTATGGGCAAATATAGTATCTCAGAATTTCTCTCCTGGATTTTTCAGCTATGTCCTTGCAATCCAATTCCAGCAGCAAGTAGTTGATGCTTGGGAAAGCCACGGACCAAGTGCTGAAGACGAACTCAAAGAAGCACACCGAGTTCTCGAACAATTGAAATTTAAAGCCCGTAACACATTTGCAAGTAATGAGTTTACTACAAAGGCCTTACCTCTGCCCCAGACCCAAACGTATGGATCTGACAGGAGTTCAAAAGGCTGATTTCCTGTGAATTAATAATTCAGAAGATGCTCAAACTTATCCATCTGCTGCATAGCATGGACTGGGTAGCTTCATATATTGGTGAGGGTCTGTGGCTACTGGTTTTAATTTTTTCAGTAATCTTACGTAGCTAGTTATATAAACAACACAATTTATAGTGATTCCTAGTTTTGCCAATGTCTTAATTATTCTGAAGTAATCACCCTGTTTTTTCTGCTAGAAGTTGAAGATTTTGGCCAGCATTCGAGTTTAGCCTGTCTACAAAGCTTGTAATGATAATCTTAGTCCTTAATTGCTTGATTAATAAACGATCTTACGGGTCTTTGTGATACACTTATTATCTGTTTAGTAAGAATTTAATCTACATTTCGAGCGTGTGGACGACTGGTTTACGCTGGCTTGCCAGATTTTTCTGAGACATGTTGCCCTACAATATAGTAACTCTGTTTCTCTTGAACAACTTATTGATGATGTTTGGTTAGCAAAGACATGTAATGATGATGTTGGTGTTGGCTCAGCTCATGTATGCTGCTTTGTTGTTTTTGCCCTGCTTTTCTTTTAGGGCATGTTAACTAAAGTGGAAAATTGAAGGAATTAGAGAGCTAAAACATAAAGAGAAGTAAGGAAAGGGAATCGGATCAACTAGTCACCCTACTCGATTTGATTTCCCATTTTTAGGCACTTAATTACAGATTTCAAGGGAAGATTTTCACTTTTTTTATACCTTAGTTGTAAGTAAACGCAGGTAAAGTTAACGAGGGAAATGATCTCATTTTCTATTCCTTGTAAGTAATTTTTGCACACCATTTTCTCATCATGCATACCGTTGCTTATTTTTGTTCTTTGAACTGAATAGATCAAAAGAAAATCTAGAGACAAAGTTAAACATGAATGGATATAAGAAAACGAGTGCAAAAATCATATCGCCTTCTTTTTCTTTCCTCTATATTCATAAGGGCCAAAGAAATAGCATTCGTATAATTAAAATTAGACGTGATGAATACATTGAGGCTTTCAGCACTCACCAACATTTGCATAATTGCTTCAATATAAAAATATGTTAAAAGTAATCATTCTCATTCATGAAGAAGAAGAAGATAACAAACCTAGAAGCAATGATTCTCAAAAACCCATGCCAAGCTTTAAGCAAGGAATCTCTAATGTCTTTCATTATGTCTAAAATTAACCCAATGTGACCCCATACATTGGTTTATCTCATCTTTAGCTCAGTTGGTTAAGATGATTCACCTACACAAGGCTCCGAGTTTGGATCCCCCTCCCAATGTCGTTCGAAGGGCTTGCAACTTAGTTAATTAAGAACATCCACTTCTACACCTGATGTCCCGAGTTTAACTTATCCTCTCCCAATCTTGCGCCACTGTTTACAGCTTAGTTAAAAGCATTCATCTATACATCTCAAGTCCTGAGCTCGATTTCCCCTCTTCCAATACCGCTTGTATTAAGAAGAAAAGGTTACAAAAAGAAATTCACATTACAACTCACACTCAATAGGAAAGGAAAAACAGACCTTAGTTTTATTACGTTCTCCGTCCTTCTGGGTTCATAACTTCTATGTTGTGCTATGAGTTATGACTCCATCTCCTCCCTCCAATTCAATCACTACAAAGTCCACATCACTACCGATAGAAAACAGCTCCGAGTCTTGAGGCGAAGAGCTCGGTGCTATGGCATGATCGATCGGACAACGAATAGTACCCGGAACACTTGTTCTGCAAAGAGGGCAGTTGGCATTGCTTTGAAGCCATACATCAATGCAGTCCAAGTGAAACTCATGGCTGCAATTGGGAAGAACTTTTAGTGTGTCTTGTTCTTGAAAATCCTTCAAACAAACTGCACATCCACACACACTTCTCTCTTCATCAACTTCTCCTCCTTTGAACTGAACAGTTGGGATTCCACGAATGACTGATTCGTCAAGCCCGCGGTTCCACACTGACGGAGAGAAGGCCGTAAGTAGCTCCTCATTTTGTCGAGCTCGTGAGGTGGTCGGAAACCTCATGATCAAGAGATTGAGTTGGTGCCACTTTGAGCAAAACTTGACAACAATGAGATAGTAGCTCACTAGCAAGAAAGCTGAGGCCATGAGGCTTAGTAGAACAATAGCTAAGGTAGGGAAAGAAGAAGGTGGACTGGGCAGAGGTGGTGGATATGTGGAGTTTACCTGGTCTTTTATGGTTAGGAAGACAGATTGATCACCAAAATTGTACCAGTTTTTGTGCTTTGGTGCCATAAAAAGAATGGAGCTGAATGTCAATGAAACATGAGAGTTTGTGTTTCATAGATGCTGATATATAAGATTTCGACCAATAGGTTTAGAATTTATTTTTTAATTTAATTCATCAAATCAATGAAATATAATAAAATAAAGGCTTATTATATTAATATCCCACAAATTGTTCAATAAACTCCACATTTGCTTTTTCACTTAAAAATTATCTTAATACACCCCACATACTTTCCCATAATACCTCCACACCCCACATTCTCAATATACACCTTATATTTTGTACATACACCCCACATTTCTCAAATCTTATAACACTCATTTTTAATTTTCAGGAACTGAATCTAACCATTTGAATGTTTAGTTTGCCGAAAGATTTCAAGTCATCTAAACGTTTAGTTTGCCGAATGGTTTCAAAATGATGATTTGAAATCATCTTAGTATAGTTTGCATCGACAGATGTCTACCTTCGTTAAGTAGGGTAACATCAGCAATGGCTTCATTGTGTATTATTGATTGATTTGTCATTGTTCTCTTAGGTTGAGCTGCTTAGAGGTCAGAAAGCAGATAAAGTGGAGGTCACTATACAACCTGAAGAATTGGATGATATGGAGACCGTTTTGCCTGCAAAGTAAGTCCGAGACATGAAAAAATTGAACTTTACTTTAACAATGTACCTTAGCAGCAGCAGATAGCTTATAACTAGTGTGTCGTATTTAACAGGTACGAAGAAGCAAGGGAGGAGGAGAAGCTGCGAAGTCAGAAAGAAGATTTCAGTGACATGTTCGCAGAGAACGAGAAGAGGAAACGTAAGCAAGACAAGGAAGGGAAAAACAAGAAGAGGGACTTCCAAGTTTTAGGATCTATCTCTGTTGTTATTACTAATTTATTGCCGGATGGGAAGCCACCCACCCTCCTGACGTTGAGTTTTGGTGCCGGTGTTTTTCCGAGAAATGTGATATGATTGCTCTGCTTGTACCGCTTTGATACACACTTAGTGATCTATGTCGTAATACAAATACTCACTTTTTGACATGTTAATTTGTAACCCTTCAGAGTCAATCAATTCCAAAATAAATCTAGGAAGAATTTCTAAAAGGTTCCTCACAAAACTTCTTTTATCGAAAAACATTTTAGACAACTTTTTTTCAATCAACATGAAAAATAAGAAGTCTTACCTCATGTGAAGCTTCCGAAACATCGATTTCATATTCCATTTGTCAAAAACAATTTTTCTCAATCAACATTTTGTTCAACAATGGAGTGTGTGAGGGTTTTGATAGTTGAGAAGATAAATAATACGCTAAAAGTGATTTGGGGTGTATTTAGAATTTTTTTTTTAAAAAAAAAACCTAATAAGGTCAAAATTGTAATTGCATAGTCGGGTAAATAAGTCATTTAATATTAAATTTTAATATCGGATGCATTCAACATTTTGTAGGATGCTAATACAAAAAGTCTAAAATAAATTTTAAAAATACATCAAAATGTGTGCAAGACACGAATTTCAACAAAAATGCCTAAACAACAACATGATATATAAAAGTTAAAGCAAAACTAGTTTAGTAACAACATAAATGTGAATGTACAAAGATTTGGAGACCGATTACAAATTTCTGATAAAAAATCTAAACCTACAGTAGTAAACCGTATATAAACCATGACTTAGTGGCCCTTTATTGACGTCTTGGTGTCTCTTGAATTTTACTTTTAATTAAAAGTTGTAACTAGTTTCATATATTTATATTTCTATACATGGGTGTTGGAAGATTGGTCATGCATGAAGGTGCTTCTGGGCCGCTGTGAAATTATGGTTTAGAATGGAGTTGGCCTATGTCCCTCCCTGCAATATCTGTTGAGAGTTGTCCCACATCGGTGAGGGACAAGGTTTGCTATGTGCTTATATGATATTGAGTTACTCCTTATATTGCCAATTGGTTTTATGGTGGAACCTCAATTTCATCATGGTAACAGAGTAAGGTTGTCCACGTGTGAAGCTTAACGGCCACACGCGCTCCACGTCACCCAGTTGTTGTCCACGTGTAGGCTTGAAAATCCGCCACATGTGGAGAGTTGCCCCACATCGGTGAGGGACAATGTTTGCTATGTGCTTATATGATATTGGACTACTCCCCATATTGTCAATTGATTTTATAGTGGAACCTCAATTTCATCAATATCTTCTTTCAACCCATTTCATTCCATTCTTTTCAAGACCATATGAGCATTCTGGTTTAAGGGTAATGGTTTTCGCATTTCTTTTGAAGTCGTCTGCACTTCAAATTAGATATTTTGACAATTATTTACAATCACTTGTCATCTAATATTAAGGGTTAGATAAGGCAAAATTTTAGATATAATTAGTGATATATCATCCTATTCATATCTCTCTCATTACGTTAGACTTTTATCCCGCTTGATGATATACATACTTGGTTACAAGTAGAATCTGTCCTAAGTTGATGGATTTGGAATTTTGGAGAGCCACTGTCAACTGTATACGTATGTCACTCAATAAAAAAATATTGTTCAAATAGAATCGTGTGTTTGCACTTCATAACCAAAGATGCATGTTATATCTCCTAGTCATGCTATAGTTTTCTTCTCTCCCTAAAGAACACACAACTTGTACAGCACTGCAACTCCAAGTCAACAACCTATATATTATTTTTTGTAGGCCAATCACTAGCAATAAAGCTTATGATTTGGTGTTAGATTACATATTGATTATAATCCTTCGAAGTATACTTTTGATAAAGTTCATATTTTATTTTTGTTATTTTATGTGTATTTTTATTTCATATCTTCACATTAAAATTTTAATTTTATTAATATGCACATTTTAGTTCTTCCAATTATAAATAAGTCAAAATGAGAGAATATTTAGTGACACGTAAGAAAAGTATGTAAATACATAAGTGTATAGCAAATGACTGTACCAAAATATATTAAATTGGATTGTTTTGTCCATAAATGTCTGTACCAAAATATTTGTACTTAAATATATTATAATGAATTAGTGTTGTTGATGCACAAAATCGGGTCGATCTTGGACCAATGTAAATCTGACTGTAAATCACATAAACGCACAATAATACAAATATATATCATGGTTCACCCCAAGTGAGGATGAAGGATCCTTTGCTCCTCCTTCAAGTGAGGGTGAAGGATCATTTTTTATAGAATAAGGGCCTTCTTCACCTCTTACATACATCATGGGCAAGATCATGAGGCCCAAATACTAAGGCCCAATATATGGCACAACAAGTGTAACTAAATGTTAGTACCGAGCTATACTAATGAATTTGTGTAATTAAATGTTTACCAAAATATATTATAATGAATTAGTATACACTAAAAAAAATGACATAGAATATAAATACTGGCATTTAAATAGAACCAAATGAACTCAATTTTGGAATCTTGTACAAGACATTATTGTAAACTTAAACTGAAGAGATTATTCTAAACTATAACTCAAAATCTGTGATGTTTTATCTTAATTGGCGCGCGGGTCACATGATTAGCTCCCCGAGAGGCTTAAAACCTTTGACAGTTCTTCGTCGTTGGCAGCTTTCGATTTGAAGTATTGAAGGAACTCTGTAAACGTCATGGATTTGTACAGTGGTGGATTGCACAAAGCTTTTGCAGGTTCTATAACAGTCTCATTAGACGGATAAATAAAGTACGCAACCGTTGTCCTTGCAGCTCTTGAATTTGTCACGGCTCGATGGTCAGCGCCTTTAAACTTCGAGTTGCTGATCATCTGCATTAATCCACGTCATCAAGTTAATGTTCGGGAGATCACATTTTTTGTATATAAAGATTTAAAGAGTATATATTAAGGGGGTTTTACATATAAACTTTAATAACATTACAATTTAGTTAAATACATACTTGCATGACGTAACCTATGTTAACAACAAAGCCACTAGAAATAGGCTCAACACCAATCCAATTCCCATCTTTGAAGACTTGGAGTCCTTCTGAATCTTGCAGTAAAATGGTAATGAGGCTCGGATCACGGTGTTTCGCTAATCCCAAAGTTAAACTAGGATCTGGGCACGGCGGATAGTGGTTGGACAGCAGCCGTGGATATTCACTAAGTCCACCATTGAAGAACTCTTTGCTCAGTCCCAACCCTTCAGCAAGCATCTCCAAAATCCTAGAACCCAACTTTCTTACCTCCTCCGCGTAAGTTTTTAAAACTTCTCTGCAAAGAGTCGAAGACACGAAAACAACAAAATCATCATTGATCTCTAATCGCATGGAATTAAGCAATGAGTAGTGATTTTCACACTTCTATTTTCTCATAAAACACTCGTTGCCTTCATGCCCTTTGAATCTCCTTTAATTTATTATTCAGTCCAAATAATCGGACATAAAGGAAGAGTGTAGCGAGAGAAAAGGAAATGCAAAAATCATTCTATTTGAAAAGGATATTTACGAGCACTATGTACCGGTATCGAGTAGGATTTTGAGGCCAAAACTGAATGTTGTTTTCAGAAGGATGAGCGGGGTGAGCCAATGCATCTCTCCAGTAGTGAAGCTCTTCATTCGCATAGTTTTCACTGCTTGTGTAGAACTTGTAGCTTCCGGTAGGGTCCTTTGAGCCTTCGATTATCTTGTCTTTTCGGGGCATTGCATGAAACTCCTTGGAAACACTCATTGTGTCATCAATCAACTTCTTGGAAACCCCATGATTGATGACCTGAGAAAATAACAGTACTGTTACTATTAGAAATTCTCTGAGCAAAACGTCGTTCTCTTATTAAATAAAAATTAAAGAACAGAAACGGACATGTATCGATAAAGACTTGATGACACATTATCAACAACATATAAACAATTTTTTTAATAAAGAACAGATACCTATTCAATTGCAGACAACTTTCGTTTAGCATAAACATAATTGAACTTTAAACTTCAATGCAAAAAAAAAAAAAAAAAAAAAAAAAAAAAAAAAAAAAAAAAAAAGATGAAAGAAGTGTAAAGTTGATGAAGGTGCATGACTCTTTTCAAACCTGGAAAAATCCGAAGTCTTGGCTAGCTTTGGAAATTTGTTGAATTGTGTGACTGCGATCATCGTTGCCAAGATCAACTACTGGAATGTTCTTGCAAGGAGGAACGCCGACAGTGTTGCCAGGCCGCTTTTCTGGTGGGTGGACATAGGTTTGGGGAACAGATTGAACATCAAACCAGCTTGAAGCAAGCTTCTGGTCAAATGTCTCCATATCAACCTTCGAAACACAGTAGTAACAAAAATCGTTGCAAGTTGGCTTTTTATAGGAAGTCATCTACCCTATTTCACATGCATCGCCGAGTTGTGGAGATGGAAAGAAATACGTTTTAGCATTAAATAACTTTCAATATTCCAAAATTAATGAATAAGTTGCTATTCTTTTTTTGGTAAGAAAATAAAAAGGATATTTTTGGTTGAAGATTTTCAACTAAATTTTTTGCAGGGAACTAGAGAGTGCCAATCCTTCTAGATTTGTGAAGCTTCCGATTAGGGTAATAAGTAAAACAAATCCGTTTCCATAATTATTCAGCATAAATAGTGTCAAGTAACGTTATCAATCAATTAATGCTAACATGTGTATGGAAAGTCATATTTAGCTAAATTGAGTAGAAATATGTGTTTTCTCTCTAAACCAAAGTTCGAATCCTCCTCACCGTGGTTTAGATTAGGTGTAATCAAATAAAAAACATGTGTATTGATTTATTAATGTAATATACTAGGTCCAGAATTTATCGCTAATGTTGTCCAACCCACGTGTAACACGCTAATAAATAATGTCACATGATGTGTCATAATACAAAAAAAAAAAAAAAAGTTCAGCTATAACACATGAATAGTATATGAATATAATCTTCTTTAATTGGTACTAAATTTTAGAGACCAGGAGCATATCTTTGCAAGAATGAATCAATTTATTCGAATTTATTTAAGGTCCTTAATATGCATTCATGCATATATACTAAGATGCCAGCCTGCATTTGCATTTACACAATATTTTCAACTTTCCCTTACCGTCAAATATTTGCTTGCAGCTGTATATAAACCAACAGATTCTTATGATCAATTAATAACTATATATTGTGTTCGACCCTTTTGGGAAGAATGTCAATGAACTACCCAGCTTTTCGAATTGGTCGAACTAGAAAATTGCGAAATCAAAAGTTTAATTGACTTATAAAAAATTGAATCCTGTTATAATTTTAAGAAATAACTGGCCCGTTTTCGGGACACTGTTTGCCACTTCTTCTTTGATCTTTTATTTTCTGGTTTTAGTGATTGATTATTTCCTTTATTTTCTCTTTGTTTTCGCTTTCTGAAGTTTCCTTTTTTATTAGGAAGCAATTTCACATTTTAAAATTAATATAATTATGTATAGTTTGTCTTCCCTAATTCGTTACTGTACTTTGAATGTGTTTTCACCTTCAACTTTCTCCATATGTACTAAAACTGTTATTACACTCCACATAATCTCAAATACTACCATCACACTCCATACTTTCTACAAACACTCGCAATCCCCACTTAAACCCCACATGAGACTCTTGTCTATTTAAATATAATAAAAAAGGCATGTTTGTCCCAAAACTCATCTTTTTCACCTCGAATATCTAGTTTAACGTATATTGATGATAGATTTGAGCTAAAAAAATTTCCTTTAGACGAATCACCTCTAATTTAACATTCTTTGATATTTAATTTTGAATGCAAGTCTTTGCATTAGTGGTTGCAAGGATCCTTGTTGAAAAAATTATGGGTGCCTTGGATTAATTTTGGAAGGGAATAAACTAATATTTGATTCAAGACTATATACTGTTATTATTTGTTAATAAAATCACATCGGAATAACGGTAAGTCTACTAATGATTAAACTAACTTGTCCACGACCTCCTGTTTCATACCATTTCATATCCTTCCACCACAAACTAATGAGTAAATTTGGCGATCACATTGACCACTGAATGTGGATAGGGAAAATACTTTGAGAGCTTTAAGAAAAACAATCTAATATGCATTCAAAATAATTTTGGGTGTAATAACCCGTCCTTAATTTTACGGATTTATAAATTTTAAAGGAGTGTATTGACGAAAATATCCCTTGAGGCAAGTTGTTGACCTTCGTTGACCGTCAATTCATGATGTGTACGAGCTACTATTTTACTGTATTCGAAGTACTCAACGGTACGAATGCGTAGGCGCAAGCGGAATCAAATTCAAAGTTACAACGAAGATTTTACGGGACTACAAATCCGAAAAATACTTCTGTAAAAAAAATATTATTTTATATTATTAATTTTCTATTATTTTTAACATTTTCTGATTTGACATTTTAAATATTTAAATAATTTATTTTTGGCCCGTGGGGCCCACGCATCTCAAACTCTCTACTATCTCCCCGCCGCGTGTCCCTCTTCCCTCTCTCCTAGGCCTCCCTCTCTCTTCCCTCTTCTCTCAGTCTTTCTCTCGTCCTTCTCACCTTTCTCGCTCTCTTATCTCTCTTGTCTTCCCTCTGCAACCACCTAAACCATCACCAAAAAGTTTACCCCAGCGAGCACACCACCCACAGAACTTCCCCGTCACGAACTTTGACCAGGCCAAGGCCTTTCCCTTTCCTTCTATCTTCGGCACCATCACTGTTCATATATCTCGAGTTTCCGACAATGGTAAATTCCAAAAACCACCCAAAACTTCTTGGATCGTGTTTTGGTTTATGTTTCTAGCTTTTCTAAGGTCTTTGGTGGGGGTTTTAGTTCAAAAACGACACGGGGGAAAGTTCCCCAATTTTTTGGCGAGGAACCCAGCCTTTGCAAGCCTTTTCCGACCGAGGCTCAACCTCTTTTTGATATACTCTTGTTCCTAATCTCCTAAGCTTCATTTTGAATTTTATTTCATTGAAAATAGTCAAGAATCAAGCTCGAACAGAGCTTGGGAAGTTTCCCGGCCAAACTCGGCCCAGTTCGACCTTCTTCTTTGTTGGGTCCGGCCAACCCACGAGCCCAAACGGGTCAACCCGACCCAGGAGAAAAAGGGAAAAAAAAGGGGACCAAGCCCAAACCCGACTCAAACCTTTGGGTCGTTGACCAGATCTGACCCATTTCCAAAAATGGATCTGGAATATTTCTTGTGTTGACTTTTTCAAAATTTTCTCGGAAACCATCTTAGGCTAATTTTGATGCCTCGAGTCTGTTTTTGACATCCATTTAGTGAAATTCTGAAGTTTTAATGTACATGACTGAGGGGCGGCTCGGTTGACTTTTTAAGGTTAACCATTGACTTTCCTGTTGACTTTTTGTAAAATTTGTCAAGGACCCTTCTTTGGGTATTTCGATGCCTTGATTTCAAATCCGCACTTCGTTTTCCTAAATTTAATTGTTTTAGTGGAGTTTTACTAATGGTCCTAATATTATGCTTAGGTGCGGTTACTATTAGAGACTCCGGTTTTCCTAGTTCAAATGGCTGCGACTTCGCAAGTATCTGTGAGTGGGTCTTTTCTTTTACATAGTACATATATACTTGTTTAGTTTCCACATATACATCTAATAACGAAGTTCCTAAGTGATTGCCATAATTAAATTAATGTTTATAAGAATTGTCGTATTGTTGGGAAATTATGAAATAATCCTACGGGATGCACATGTAAGCTTACTATAAGGGGATGACTTAATTAGATTTACGGCTATGAATAGTTTTATGTCGACTAGAATTATCGAATTACCGTGCATATTTATATTTACTTTATCTGCTCATCGTGTGTTACACTGGTGTTTGTACTCGCCCGGACCAGGGCCAGACTTCACGTATATATTCACATCACACCATACACTCACTTTGAATCCACTGTAGGTACCAATCCTATCCTAGATTGCTATAGGCAATTAGGACTTGTATGTGACGCGCATAGCCCCAGTCTTCACATGATTGTAGTACTAGAGCGTAAATCATTATTACACCCAGTCCTGTTCATGTCATAATACCTCTGCATGAACTCGTGTGTCAGCATATGTCGATGAGCACTCGATATGATATGTTTGTTTATGCAAGATTATGTGATTACCAGATGTTAGGTGTTTATATACGAAATATTGTGATGTATTAAATTCTTGAGATATTGCAGGCTACGGTAATTATTTCCATAATATATGTAGTATGTATATTTTGGAAACTATACTTATTTTACGGCGATGAATTATTATGTTTTCGAAAAAGGTTTTTACAAAACTTTGTTTTTAGGCACATTCACCCTCGTTTTTTGCCCTTTCAGGTTTTAGCAGCTGAGCTTTGTGTCGACGAAGATCCTTGGCAAATCTTGGTATAGGTGGTTACCTTCGATAATATAATTCTCATTATACTTTTACTATACTTTACTTATGCTCTGACATCACGTGTGAAATGAATTTATTTTCATTCACAAGCGCACTCTTATATTTAGGCACTATTAAGTTTAAATTTATTCACATGTTCCACATTACTACACTTTATGGCTTTGCCACCCTCCGAGTGTCGGCCAACACAGCTCGATTCTGGGTCCAGGTGAACATCCCAGGTCAGAGTGTGTTATTGGGTGTATTAAGAAAATAATTTTCTTTTTAAAATCTTATGTGGCCTAAATAGTCATTTTATTTTAACATTTCTTATCTAAAATAAATAAATAAATAACTCTCTCTCTCGAGAACATGAGATAGGGATAGAAGTTTATTTTATTTTTTAAAAATTAGAGATGTTAAAGTCATCTATAGGTAAGGTTTAGACAAAAAACAACAAAATTTTGTTTTGTTAAATTACATTACTATTCTTAAGTTTTTTGTTGTGATAGAAGATTAAATAGTCTTCTCCTCCTATTTTGGTTGAGAAAGCACGTTTTATTAATATGTAGTTTATATAAGTGTTGACAATGGTGTTAAATTAGAGTTAGGCTAAATTGGATTGTTCATCCCTGTGGTCATAGTACACTTGCATGATGACTCCTGTGGTGAAAAAACTAGGAATTAAACCCATGTGGTCTAGAATGTTAGCAAATTTAGTCCAAAAGTAAGATTTCTGTTAAATAACGGTTAAAAGTTGGGGTAAAACTGTATTTTCAGTTACAATTGACATTGAATTGGGGCTTTTTTTATTTAAAAAATTAAGCATTATTTTTTTTGTTAATTGTTATAAAAAAATATTTATTTTAAATGTCAATTGGAACTGAAAATACAGTTTTACCCATACTTTTAA